ACTTCATCCAATATGTTATGGAGATAGTAATAACATACAAAAAAAACACATGAATATTAAAGTCAACTTATCAACTTTAAGTGTAGAACCTTGTGAGTGTGCATACATGGACTTTATGCAGTGTAATAAAATGTTTGCTTAACCTTTTGGATAGCTTTTCAGCCTTTGATATCAGAGGTCAAGGTCACTTACTATAAATAGAACATCAGTTTGTGCACTGTATTTCAAATTCTGTTGGACTGATTACACTCAGATTTTATCTTGTCCTTCCTGGAAGAACGTGCCTGCTTGGGATAACTTTTCAGGTCCAGTGGTCAAAGGTCAATGGGTCACTCTAAATAGAAAATCTGTTTAATGCACTAATGCACAATATCTTGATTTCTCTTGGACTGATTACACTCTTGACTTTATATAGTGCTTCTTCAAAGAAAGTGCCTGCTTGGGACAACTTTCCAGGCCCCGGTGTTAGGACTCTATCACTGTTACTATATGAATAGAGAATCAGTTTATAAAATGCACTACTTATATTTTGAGTTCTGTTGGGCTGATTACACTCAAGACTTTATCCATTGCTTTTATAAAAAAAACACTTGCTTTCACTAGTGTTTGCTAAGCACAGTTTCTTTTAAATCTTCAATAAACATTAATTATGGATAATAGTCACGGCGGCATTTAAAATATATATATAAATCTTATTACCGGTTAGCTTGTAATAATAATAATAATAATAATAATAATAATAATAATATACAGCATTCATATACCGCCCTATATAATTTGTAAAATTATTCTAAGGTGCTTTACAACATATGGATAATAGTAATGGTTATAATTGTGAAAACAAACAACAAAGGCTTGCAATCACTTTCATACATTTGTAAAAGTGGAGATAATTCGGATACTTAACATTCGATATTTACGATTGACAGTTCACCACGTTTCGTCGTCCATCTTGTTGTTTTCACATTCGGAACCTAGTTACGTAACCGGAAGTGTTCCGAGTAGCTTTTGCACGACTATTGCACGTGCAAAGTGCCATGTTTCTGTCTATATAAAGCGGTGGTTTTCTATAGCTCGTCAATCAGAAGTAAAGTCCTCGTAAGACTGCCTGACTCACTCTTTCTCTCCTTCTTTCTAGGACTCGTTAGTTAATAATGTAGGACCAGCAATAATGTTTAGTGATAGTGTAAGAAAGTAGTCTGTACACATGTCTATATAGAATTCTAACGTAGAGTCCGTCGTTTATGCTTATAGGAGTAGGCCTCGTAGCCACTAGTATTAATGAACGGTGTTGTATAGTGTGCGTTAGGGTGTGAGATATGTTACCGTGTATTGTACTGATATTTCTTTACACTTGGTGTGTTTAATAAAAGATATTGAAGTTTATATCCTTGAGTCTATGTTCATTTGCCATACTACATGCTCATTAATTTATAAGACCCCAATGGACCCAAGATCACCGAACCTGGGTGTTGGTTTTGAAGTAAAAACCCGATCCTTTAACAAGCAATGTGCACATAATTGAACAAATAAAATGGTGGTATTTACATGACGTCTTTGCAAAGATTCTAAAATGCAGACGTGAAGAGGTGAGTTTGTATGTCCCTCTTGAACTTGGCCAGGGTATTTGACTTCCTGATAGCAGATGGTAAGCTATTCCACAACGTAGCCGAAACCCTCCCAAAGCATCTGTTTCCGTAGGTCACAGTACGAGATTTTGGGACACACAACAAAGATTCTGACTCCGACCGCAGTGATCTCGACGGCTGATACAGGTACTGAGGAACTGTTCCATTCAGTGCCTTGTATGTGTATACCAGAATTTTGTACTGCGACCTGTATTGTACAGGTAACCATTGCAACGAATAAAGCGCAGGTGTGATGTGCTCTCTTTCGAGTACGAGTAACTAGCCGTGCTGCAGTGTTTTGGACCCTCTGCAGACGACTAGTTAGTTTGTCAGATATACCACAGAGCAGGGCGTTACCATAATCCAACCGAGAGGTCACAAGTGAATGCACCAAAATCTTGCATGCATCTGCAGTTAGATACTGCCGAATACAGCCGATGTTCCTGATCTGGTAGTAACAGGATTATGCAATAGCGTTCACTTGTTTCTCCTAGTATTGGGTTGTATTGAGTAAATCGACGTTTGTATTGGGTAGTATTGGGTTGTATTGAGTAAATCGACGTTTGTATTTGGTAGTATTGGGTTGTATTGGGTAAATCGACGTTTGTATTGGGTAGTATTGGGTTGTATTGGGTAAATCGGCGCTTGCATTTGGTAGTATTTGGTAAATAGGCGCTTATATTGGGTAATATTGGGTTGTATTTGGTAAATCGACGTTTGTATTCGGTAGTATTGCGTTGTATTGGGTAAATGGGCGCTTGTTTTGGGTAGTATTGTATTGTATTTGGTAAATCGACGTTTGTATTGGGTTGTTTTGTGTGAATCGACGTTTGTATTGGGTAGTATTGGGTAGTATTGTGTAAATTGACGTTTGTATTCGGTAGTATTGGGCTGTAGTGGGTTAATCGACGTTTGTATTTGGTAGAATTTGGTTATATTGGGTAGTATTTGGTTGTATTTGGTAAATCGACGTTTGTATTGGTAAGTATTGGGTTGTATTAGGTTAATCGACGTTTGTATTGGGTAGTATCGGGTTGTATTTGGTAAATCGACGTTTGTATTTGGTAGTATTGGGTTGTATAGGGTAAATCGGCGCTTGTATTTGGTAGTATTGGGTTGTATTGGGTAAATCGACGTTTGTATTCGGTAGTATTGGGTTGTATTGGGTAAATCGGCGCTTGTATTCGGTAGTATTGGGTTGTATTGGGTAAATCGACGTTTGTTTTGGTAGTATTGGGTTGTATTTGGTAAATTGATGTTTGTATTGGGTAGTTATAGGTTGTATTGGGTAAATCGACGAATCTCGCTCTAATACAAAAAAAAATAAAATAATTAAAAACATGATAGAGAATTTTAAATATAAAATATAAACCCATTTTTTCAGGCTAAGTATAAACACCGTAATTTATCACATACCTGTTGAATCTTGTTATAGTTATACAAGCAATTGTCAGTCCATGAAATACAACGTTCTGTATTGCACATGTGCAATACGGAATGTTGTATTTACCTACTAGCCGGAACTACTTCTAATGGGAATCCCCTTGTCATGACGAACTGTAAAGTGTCCGGTATTTGCAAAAAATATCAAAGTTTATAAAATCTTTGTATCGATCTCTACCAAATACGGAAGGTATGTGATAAAAGCGCTCGGCGCACTCGTGAATATATTCGTCCGCGCAATAAACTCGTGCTTTCTGATTCGTAAGAAAACACAAGTGTGTGGTCTTGCATATTGATTCAGGTGTTCTCGTTGCTCGAATAAATTATGTAAAATAATTCTTCACGTGTCCTCATGCAGTAGTTCTTGCATTTGAAAATGCCTTAACAGAATATTTTGCACTTTTGAAGTATTCATCGATGAGAAGCTTCAAGTTTCGTATTCTGTTTCAAACCTTTTGGTTTAAAATTGCCTTATATGATATATTATCGTCTACAAAAGGTTAACTTGGAGCATTTTTCATTCAGAAATATATTTTTAGTTCTCACAACTAATAATTACTAGGCCCTTTCCCGACAGTATGTATTCTATACACTAAGTTTGATAACAAGTGATGGAACCAATTTATACAAATACTGTTTCATTATTGAATGAGACATACCCATCTGAAAAACTGGAATGATATAAGATTATTGTTATGATTATAATGCCTGAACATAATAACTGTTCAATTATCTACCGCAGAACTCATGAAAACAAATATACGTTAAAGAAATATTACCAAAAATAAAAGTAAAGTTTAGGATACATGTTTAGATATTTGACATTCTGTTTATAAAATGTAAATCATGTGGCCGAAAAGGAAATATATATTTCCTTATTTGTTTAGTGTCGACCATGTACATATTATTATGAAATCTGTCCTGTCTGACTTTTTCAATGACTGCTGACGTGTAGTTAAAATTATACGGACAAGGTCATAGAATTTAACTTATCATTACCGTAAAACCTCAGTACACTGTATTTGTTGTACTCATAGTTTAAACACCTTTAATATGTAAATGTAAGGTTTGATGAATGCATCAATGTTCTTATATTCGTTTTAGTAACTATTTTTATTTATTTATCATGTCATGTCCACCAAATTCCTGTATGTGAACTTCAACATAATAACAGGAGGCTCTAGAACAGTTTTGTTCTATTTAATTGATTGTGCAAATATGTGGTGGTGGCAGAAAATGATTAGATACTGAACAATATCAAATGTCTTTTCCATGTACGGAGTTTTTGAATAGCATGGTTTCATGAATGATTACTGCACCTATTCTGCACTTAAATAATGTATGCGCTTAATCAATGATTCCATGATAGGAAATGCAGTGGATCTATTTCCTGTGTTGGACATTATTGACACATTTGAGAGTTAGACTTAAAACTTGCCATAAATTGTATGTCGACAATACCATGTATAAATACAGCCGTTCCCAAAGTTTATGTTATATGCGACAAATATTCAGATTTAAATATTTCTGTTCAAGTTATTTTCTCCAGTAATTGGTCATACAACATTTCGCCAAATAAACTTTTAACCTTTCAGCTTAACTTTTTGTACAAATGTATATCAATAATAAAATATGTATTCTGTTTAATTTTTAGATGGTTTCCTGACCACTTTCTACACTTAATTCTTCCATGAGATCTCTATATTTATCATAATGTGTCTTATTTATGGGCATAATAAATAAAAGCATTAATGACGAGTTATGATATCGGGTAAAACGCCCTTGTTTGCATACTATATCAGAATGTCAGGTTATTGATTTATAAGGGTTATAATTTTACAGCATTGTACACATGCGAAAAAAACAACGTTTGTCGTCTACAACCTGATAACTGCACAGACATGTGATACGTGAAGTCCAAAAAGCAGGAAACTCGATAACAGGTAATATATAAGCAGATAAGTATAACGCTCTACCTCACAAAGGAAAACCACGTACGTGAAGCTATTGTGAAGTATGGCGTCAGTAAGTATACAAGTCATTGTCTCTTAACATAATGGTTTTAAAGATATTCGTACATGGTATCTCATACTAAGGATACTTCGAAAATGAAAACGTTATAAATACATCTTGCGAGCGAATGCAGTTATCGACAATAAGCAACGTTCTGTTAGAAACAGGGGACAATGAGATGAGATTGATTAGATTGGAATATTTCATTAGTGATAGATAGTAGGAAAATAACGGGGGAAAACATAATTACACTCACTCACTCACTCTCATATGGAACTTGCATGTATAAATATATTCTCACATGGACCATGTATACTAGCGGACAAAAGAAACTGTGCATGCGGAGAATTGTTATAGAACTTGTATTACCAACTGTACATGTATATACATGAAAATTCACACACATGGCCGAGTATGACACATATACACTATCCGTGTGTCATTGACAGTTTTTCCAGTGCAGTTTGCTCTCTTTAGGCGTTGACCAGTTTGCACGTTTTTCTCGTCCAGCCATCCAATTCGACCAATAAGCCCGAGAACAGTATGGAACCGATTGCGTGAACGAGGTATCCGTCCGCGACGTCCTGCAAACCACCCAGTTGTTCAATATTTGTATTTTTGGTCACCTCAGCTGAACTCAAATGACCTATTGCTATCCTTCTTCGTCCGTCGTCGTGCGTCGTGCGTCGTCTGTAAACATTTTACATTTTCAACTTAAGCTGAAATAGTGTAGACTGTTACTGACATCTCCATGATTAAGTGTTGTTATTTTTCGGGTTGCTTAGATATCCAATATGGCCGCCAATGCCGTCATTTTGAAAAACAGATTCAAACTGAAAGTCAGGTTCTAATGGGCTTATTTAACTGAAATCTTGTAGGAATGAACGACTCATGGTCCTGACAAAGTGTTGTTAATTATTTTTCCGGTCCATCAGAAATCCAATATGGCCGTCAATGCCGCCATTTTGAAAATTAATTGCTTGGTCAATGTCACCATAACTATGTAAAGAAAATTGTCAATCTGTGAGATACATTTCCTTGGCAAAGGGCATTTATGTGTTTAATGTTAACAATTTAATAATGTTGATCATATTATAACCACACCAGATAAAACCATGTCATTGTCTAAATAAAGTAAAGAATATGTAGTGTGTAGTATAAGGAGACATTGAAGTTGTAGTGCACTATTGTTTGTGCATGCTTTTACTCCCTTTTTATCATAGTTATTATGTACAGTCATCAATGTAAAACAAATCTAATGCTGCTTTTGTAACAGTAGCGAGACAGGTCCAGTTTTGTTTTATTTCCTTCCGCATAAATGCATAGTGTTGTGCTCTGAAGCCATATTGGCTATCTGTAATCTAATTGTGGTTAGACAAAAAAATATAAAAATGGTCATGAATATGTTTTTCTAGACATTTTGATAAAACAGGAAGTACTGATATTGGCCTTAAGTTACACAAAAGCTATTTTTTACCCTTTTTAAAAAGAGGGCTTGCTTTCGCATACTTCCAAACTTCCGGAAAATTGTTGTCAATACTAAAATGCATTAGTTTACAAACAATTGGAGCAATGGATTTAGCACAGTACTTCAAATGTTTGCGCTTATTTTGTCGAGCCCTGTGGCTTTGTTGACATCTATATTCAATAAAAAGGTTTCAATAAAAGTAGTGTTAACTTGAGGAATATTCTGAAGAGTCGGTATTACATGTTTCTTTTACATATTGATCTGCTATATTAGTGAAATACTCATTAAAACAATTTCCTATTACAGCTTCATCAGTAATATCATTGTCATTTGGATCTTTTATAAAACTCGTTAAACTGGAAGATTTCTTTGGACATATTTTTTTGTAATTCTTCCAGTAATTATTGGAATGTTAACACTGATCTAGAACAGAAGTGAAACAAGTTAATTTTGCAGATTTTATCGTCGCTGTTACTTTGTTTCTCCATTTGCGATATAGGTCTATTCGTCCCTCACATTTGTGTTTGTTCCTTATTTGTATTGCCATGTTTATATCATCAGTCCACCAGTCGGGCATTGCATGTGTTCATTGTTCATTGAGCATCAACATCTTTAGTTTCTATGTTTTGCTTGAAATCACTGCAATCCGTGTTTGATTGTTTTATGTTCTAGGGCAACAGTGACATTATCAGCTGGGAAGAGTACTTCATGGGCGTAGCTTTGTTGTCTGCCAGGCGAAGCAAGGACCCCCCAAAAAAAGTGCGTGTCGCCGAGTTATCTACTTTCTCTTGTTTATAAATGACTTAACCTTCCCGACTATAGATGGTGTAGATAAGTGTGACATGATACCGCTTGTTTCTACTTACAACCCCTGTAATTTTAATGCGTTTTGGATTATCAAAAGCTTTGACAATTTTATGAAGAGAAATGAACATATTGGAAATTCCTTTGCAAAAAGAAATGTATTCACTGTAAAAGATAACCTGAAAATTTGATAAAAGATAATTGTGTAAGTTCATTGGTTCCAAACAAAACGAACGTGTATCGACATGTAACAAACTACGATTAAATGTTGAAGTATCATTGTGAAAGGAGAAGAATTTCCATTCAAAAGAGAAAACGAGTTTATTTGAAATGTAGAAGGTTGTTTATGCAATTGTCTGTGCTAATTGTTCTATATTTTACATTGGACGAACTAGTTGTAAATAATAAATAATAATAAATGTATATAAACATATTCATTCTCATGCAAATGATAAATGTTTGATTGAGCAATATCTATTTTTCATATTTTATTTGACATAATTTCAAATGTAGTGTTCTTTGGCTGAATAAATATCCCATTATCACTTTGATATTCAAATGTATCTCTATTTATCCCTATTTCGCTTCTTTAATTCAGAAGTATATTTATTAATTACAATTCCTCCACCTTCTAATTCTAGTTCATCGAAGTTTTGTGATATTTCAGGTTGGAGCTTGTATAGTAAATAAAAACAAAAGAATAGTAGGGCTTGGATACAATGGCTTCCCTGATAACATCCCTTATAACGATGCCCAAATTCCATGGGAAAAATCGTCAGAGAAGGATGCGGACGGGAACGTGCAAAACAAGCATCTATATGGTAGTATTATGAATGTTCTTTGAATTTGATTTCGTCGATCCTCTGATAACTGACGTTTTGGATTTCATATTTATGTTAAAATACATTTATCAGATAATATGTAAACGTTATTATTTCTAAATTGCCTAAATCAGCGTCTGGTAATTTTCTAGCCTTCAAAATAATAATTATGAATTAATTTATGTTGCATGAGATTTGTTATAAAAAATGCATTATCTTACAGGATCACTATTCAATTACAAGGACGAATGGCAAATTCAAAGTACCGATGGTACTGTAAACGTAGACATAACCATGTCGACTGTATACATGTAGATGATAGTACGTTTCATGAACAATAAAAAATCATTTCAGCGACAGCATTTCAGAAATTAGTCATGCAGTCATTAATATTTTTATAAAATACAAACTATGAAACTATTATCAATGATATAAAACTGCATGAGAACCGCCCTTCCTTTTGCCATCAGTCCCAATGGATCAGTAACAGAAATGAAGTAATTTTACAGGATGTTTGTAGGTCAGAATTTCATTGAAGCACAATTCAAATTCTTATCTGTCTCCGTAGGTCCCGGAAAATATCTAAGCTTGTCGAACGCACATGCATTTAGAAATATTGATTTAATTATAAAAAAGATAACATGTATGCTCTTTTTTATCAGTTAGATGTTGTACAGCATATTTTTGGAATTTAATAAACGCAATGTTAAGATGACTTACTTTTGACTTTGTGATTACACTATGGACAGTGTGTTTTACAATGATAATTTAATGGTTAAATGGAAATTTTCCTTCAGTGTGCCATGCGGAAATGAATGCCATTGTCAATAAGCTGTCGGTGGATATTACCGGCTGTACCATGTACACAACGCTGTTTCCATGTAATGAATGTGCCAAACTCATCTGCCAATCCCGCCTCGGTAAAGTCGTCTACTTAAAAAGAAAAGATGAAGATGACGAAGGAAAAAATAAAGCAGCGGAGAACATGTTTAAAATGGGAGGAATACAAATGGTGTAAGTGATTAACATACTAAATATTTATGATACAAAAATCAGCAATTGTTTCATAGTTTGTTGTTCCTACCTAATTCTAGAGCACTGACAGGCCAGCAAGGGCCTCGCTATGTGCCTGCCAGACCCAGCCAAACCGAAACTCATTCACCCGTCTATTTTAAGTTACAGTAACCTTGACCTTAACATATTTTAAATCCCTTTTGCACATTTACATACCACAGTGAATCACCATGTCAAATTAAAAAAAAAAGTAGACTTTCGGTTTCCGAGATAATTTCAGGAAACGAAAGTGTGGACGAACGAACGAACAGACAGACAGACAGCAACTTGATTACTATTGGGCACCAGCATCTATGATGCGGGCCCAAATTATACTTATATTATTTGCCTCTAAAAAGTTAAATGAAAAATTTGTGGCTGGTAATTTTCGTAGTCTACATCAATTTAACATATTTAAAGTCATAATATAATTAAAACAAAATGTACCCACAGAAAGACATATTGTTAATAATGTTGTGATGTTCCCATCCTAGTTCACCAGTTTTTATTGTGAATTCGAGGCTTTTAATATCAATGGTTTTAATACTTGCGAACAAAAATATTAAATTTAGTGGTTAACAACGAGCGAGACAGAAAAAGATATAGAAAAATATTTAAATAAAAGTCAATTTTATTATAGCATTGCTTCGTCTAAATTGTCTCGATATTCTACCCGGTCCAGTAGCTCTAGAACCATTGTTTAAATGTGGTTATAAGGCATCGTTGTTAGTAAAAAAGGCACCAAAATATTACGTATTTTCTACGTTGATTAAACAATGAAGTAAAACAGAATTATTTTTATATGACGTCTTTCTGTGTGACGTCATGCTATATATAATGTTTCTATCGTGCTCTGTTTCTTCTGAAAAACAAGCATAAATGACGAACAACAGAATTTTAAAAGAAGTAGAATCTGTTGGAGAAGTTTGATGCTACCCATTGTTTACATAAATCTGGTCGTGACCTTCATTTCTGAAATATTTAGCTTCCTGTCGCACACGTGTGTTGGGATATTTACTCCGGATTAAATGATGCATTAAAATAGTATAATTATAATAAATGCAAGCGGAAACTCCCTTAGAACTAATACAAACGTACTTGAGTTGATTTAAGTTTAAGCTACAAACCTACACCACGAGAAATGGGAATATACAGTAGTTCGATCGCCTTGTTGTATTGCGAAATGATATATTGTTTTAAAAAAGTTAAATCTTTTGTTTTGTTTTTGTTATAGGAAATACGAACCTACGCGCAAAATAGAACTGGAAATTTGAGACCACGATTAAATGCTGTGATGTCCTTGAACAATGTGGAAATTTCCCGACCAGAATATCTTCTGTTTGTGTGACCGTTGAATGTGATTTACAACGCTAATGATGGCTTAAACAGTCAAGTGTAACGCTGTGTTATCGTATTATTATGTTAATAAGATTTAAAAAAAAAAAACTTTTCTAAATAACAGCTAATGAAAAAGACGTATTATTGATCCCAAACAATAAATTAAATTTCAATTAAACATTCTGAGCTCCTAAATGATTGGTTTTTATTTTTGTAATTTAGTTAACAAGCTCATGTTTCCTGATAAAATTTGATATTTGAAGACTAATTATTGATTGCAATGAATGAATGGAAAATCAAATGATCTGTTTTCTTTAAAGCTTAAAACAATAAAATATTATTTAGCTTCCAAATAATTGAATTTGCTTTTTATTTTGATATAATGAACGTTATTGTAATTATATATTTGTTTTGCAACTTTGGACTGAACACGATACAGGCAATGACACTATGTTCAACTTTTTTCATCATTTTGTTTGGAATTAAACGAGGAAAAGTGGCAGCACCTCTAACTGATAATTGAAAAATTATGTAACTGTACATGTATATAGCTGTAAAATAAAACCGCATGAGGTTGTTTTGGGATGCCCTTTTCCGATGGTAATTTATTAGTGAAATGAAAATGTTTTGACAATCAAATATTATACCTAAGGCAAGCTTGACTTTGTGCATAATATTCAGCTTCAGAGAGCAATATACAATTGACTTAGAGACTGTTTAAGTTGTTAGTTTTCTATTATCACACATCAATATACATCGGCATTCATTATGATTATATTTATTCGTAATATATCAATATGATATTTTCAATAGTTTTGTTTCAATAGTTAATACAATAATACATATATGTAGCCATTTGTTTATACATAAATAGTGAAGCTAACCATACAGGTTTTAATAGTGGTAACTGTTTGCAAACGCTTCTACCTCGAAAAGCGGGGGATACAAACGAAAATACCCCCACTACTAATAAGAAATTGCGGCCTATGTACATCCTTTAATATGCAGAAATACTCTCTACTTTAAGCTTTACATGAAGTAAGAACATTATAAAACATTAGTCAAACAATAATGTTCAAAAGGGATCTAAGAAGTCTGATAATTTTAGCCGCCCTAGCCTCACATTTGATTACGTTTGCGTAAATATTCTAAATTTGTCATTAGCACAAGCGCGTATGTATTAACTGGCCGGTTAACAGGATACACTTACATATCTTTGGTTGAGATCTTAATATTTATCAGAATGTGTTTAAGTTATGGACATAATAAATAAAAGAATGAATGCCGAGTCATTGATTTTAACACATGATCGAGTAAAACGCCTGGTTTGCATCACATAACGGAATGTCATGTAATCAGTACGACCTATTTTTGTGTTATCTTTTAAACATTGTGCGCACTTTGAGATTAGATTGTTTTGTCGTCAGTCATAAGGCTATCGTCTACAACCTGATAATTGCACAGACATGTGAGAACATGAAGTCCAAAAAATAGATAACTCGGTAACAGTTGATGTATAGCCTATTAGTATAATTATTAACCTCACAAAGAAAAACCACGTACATGTACGTGAAGCTACTGTGAAGTATGGCGTTATTAAGTATACAAGTCATTTTCATGGTATCTCATACTAAGGATACATCGAAAGTGAAAACGTTATTAATACATCTTGAGAGCGAATGCAGTTATCGAGAATAAGCAACGTTCTGTGAGAAAGGGGTGCAAATAACGGTCAAAATGGAAGCTGATTTCAACCCTTATACCCTAGTCATAGCGATTAAACATATTTAAAAACAATAAAAAATCGCTGCGGAGTGTTCACTCAGACAAACATACATGTGTAACAAGAGGTTCCTGTAGGATAAATATTAAAACCAATGGTTAATGTACATGGAATAAACAAATTACTCCATCATAAATGAATTGTAAAGACAATGATTACTACATCTGCATTACAATTAAGTCATGATTATAATACATAACCAATTAGGCAAGTGAAATTATGAAAAACACCTGAAAACAAGAACAAAACATATCAAAATTATCTGTTTTAACAGTGCAATTATAAATGTTCCTGAAAAGACAAACATTATCTGTAATATCAAAACATTTTAACACTGTAACTACATGACAGCGTTCAGCTCAATCATTCAAAAGATCAACTAAGAACATCTTGAATATCCCAATATTGACCAAACAATGCCAGTATATGGAGGAAACACTAGAAAGTCTCCATCTCTTAGATCTACAATATTGAAAAATGAAAATACATTACAAAAAAAATAATTAAAAAACAAATGGCAAATCATGTTATTGATTTTGTTACAATAAAAACCATTCATTCTCCACTATTTGTCCAATGATGTAATCATTGTATCTAACAGGTCTCCGCCGTTCCCTCGTTGAGGGTTTTTAAAGTAATTTTTAAGTAATTTTAAAATGAACCCTGTGACCGCAAATGTTTGTCATAGTAGTTTATTTGAATAAACCTGGTAACTCTTTGTCACAACAAACTCCAATCCATATATAGTTAACCTTTTGTTGATTGGGATAAGTCATATAGACATTTTAATACTTTTGGAAATGTGATTGTTACCTATTTCACAAGTATCCTCCGAAAACAGATGGTGGGTTAACAGAGATATGCGAAATCATATTTCGTTGTCTATGACATTGCGTTTATGTCTATGATGGATATGACTAAACGGAGAACTGAATATGTTAATAGACAGCCGTTGGCCAAACTTAGTTATGTTGACAACCAAAATATCTATCGACATTTTAATCGTCTGATTTGTTTGACGCTATCTGAAGGTTCGTATTGTTTAATATTTTTACCTTTTTCACTATAGATCACTTATATATGCTGCAATTGTTATCCTAAAAGACGCTCGATTTTTTTAACTAATTATTCAAATACTCGATATTGTAATGCAAACGGATACATACAAACATATTTATGTCAAAAACATATACAAAGATTTTCTTTGAACCCCACTAGCGCTTTCACCTCTTTAGAGCTTCATCAGGGGAACGAGTAACATGAGTGACCAGTGAAATTCGGCTTATACATAAGCCCCCCATAACTATTGTAGGCTGTTGTAGTTCATACCATAGCTAATCAGAACAGAACAGAACAGAACTTTATTGCACACCCAGATCGATACAAACGATACATGAGTAATATACATAATAAACAATAGCCAGAAATGGAATAGGAAAGTTAGCATGGAGGAAGAAATGTTTGCATAACACATTTTAAAAATTTACAAAGGTTTTTCAACAATTTCATATTAGTTGTGCAAAATAGTTGACGGTATTTGATAGTATTTGGAAACCGGAAATAATAACTGTTTATATTGTCACGTGTCAGGCTCGTATAAATGGGTGATTTCAACCACCGCTGTCTCGGCCGTGTAGCCGATTTGTTTACATATCGCCGTGCGCCTGTGTGACCGGTTTTAACTACATAAATAACACCAATGTCCATTTTATAGTCCAAAATGTGTTTGTCCATAATTTTTTAAGGTTGATTATTCAAATTACAACTACAGAACATTGTAGAAATGATTTATAACTTCCCTGCTAATTTCGTGTTAAATCGACCTCTCGTTAGCATCTCAAACACCTCTCAAGACCGCCATTTTGGAAGCTGACTATGCGAGATGCTCGAATCTACTTACATTGATTCTTTAACTTCCTAGGTTTGTAAGTCACTGTAGATTGATGGACATTAAGTAATTATGATATTTAAAAGAGTATGCTAACCTTTTTGGATACTGTTTATGTCTTTTAACGATGTCTTAGATGTTTAGTCAGTCGGAGAGGCCTCTCGGACCTCTCTCGGCGACCTCTCAAGCGTTTCGATAACTTTTACCGGCGTCTGACGTCACTACCGCAGGGAATTCCCTAAACTTCGTATATTTTTAATCCATAACCTTACCGGCATTAAATAGTAGTATTACATGTATTTTTGTACTCTGTATCATTATTTTAATGTAAAGCACTTATTGTTTGAGCGGATATTATGAGAGGCCGTGTGTGATAAGGTTTTATTACTTTTACATGCATATCCTATGAGAACGTGTCTCCGGACCTCTCCCGTCTAATCACCAGACCTCTCCTGAATAGTAATATTTGGAAGGTTATAAATACAGGTCGGATCAGACCTTTTTCTTTAGTTCATCACTGTCTTCGCTGGCAGACGGTCGCCTCTGAACTGGTCAGACTTAGGAATCTCTCATACTTTGGGTTTAGGCTTACTGCTTACGTCAATTATAGTTCTATTTATAGACACTGTCATCGGATACAAGGGGAAATCCCGGTAGTTGGCTAACCATAGCTGTATTGTCATATTATTACAAATTATCTTAATAGTTGAAACTTTCTTGTATTTATGCTGGTCTGCATATCAGATTATAATTGAGGTGGCTTAGAATATTAGGCTCTGGTGATTAGTGGGACATTGGTACAGGAAATACAGTCAATTAGTGTATAATTTGGGAATAGTTGTGTACAATTTGTCAATCACCTTTGTTATTGTCTGGTGCAAGGACCTGTGTTGATGCCTTGTTTGTATTGTAATATTATACTGATCTGTACTCTGTAAAGATACCTTGTTATTTAACTTGTTCCTTTAATAAATTATATTTGTACCTGTCAATTGGGCTCTTGGTTGATATTTAGAGTTTTCACCTAGTAAATTAGACTGCTAGACTATTTCTGACCATTGTTCTCGGACCTGACATAGAGGAGATATAACATATTCGACCGTGATAAACCAGGAAGCACACTATATTTGTAAAGCAAGAACCCAGGAGGCAGACTTCGTACGATATGCGTACGCGCATATAGTCTGCGGTTAATTTATATAAATCAATGCAATACTGCATACTCTCAATGCTTAAAGACGTTCATCTACTATATTTTTTTCATGAAGTTGTTGCCAAAACATTTATTTTGACAATTATTAAATTTGCAAAAAAAAAAGTCATTTTTGAATATTAATGAGTGACTTTTTACATATGCTTCATATCACTACGCAAGTCTTGTTCAAATCGGTCACACTCCAGCTGTTTCCGATTGAGATTGTGGTAGAAACAGATCACACGACTCGTGGTTATTGAGTATGTTATTTATTTAACTCTCGTTGGTTAATTTTCAAAAGTTACAGAAAGACAATCGCTAAAGCTCGTGTCTTTTGTAACTTTTGAAAATTAACTAAATCGAGTGAAATAAATACCATATTCAACAACTACTCGTTGTGTAACCTCCATATATTTGTTAAAAATGAGATTTATTAGGCAATGTCGTGTATTTACCTTGTGTCGTGCATTGTTGTTACAGCTGGTTGAGACTGTCATACGGGTATCTGATTTGAGTAACTTTCTTTCGTTTAGTAAATTTACTTCCGTCGTTACGTAACACGGTTTTGGATTGGCTATTATATTTCTTTTGTAACTTTGGGTACAAAAGTCGGGTCAGCAGTCTTTGATAGCACTGACCTGCTGGTCGGCTCACTTCTCTCTCTACCGCTGTTTCTTTCTCTTTCTCGTTCTCTTTCCTGTCTGTGGGGTTAGGGTGCTAGGAACAACTAGGAATTGGAACGAACTTTTTTAAAATTGTGATTCAGTTGATAATGCCTGTAAATCTTTTACTGATACGTTCCTAAAATTTGCAAATATATGTATTCCATCAAAATATGTAACTATGAGAC